AGAAAATTATCAACATAAAAATTAGCCTGCTATATTTGGTCAGGCATTCAATGAACTTACCGCTAATGTGATCCCTGTAACTACCTCTCTTCAGTGAGGTGCGTGATGGGAGCTGTTGTTCATGATTTGGGGGGTCTTACACAGTTGGCCCACAAGCCAGATATTTCCCACTCTTGGATGAGGGTATCAAGCTCTTGCTCGATAAAGAGATGGGCTGATGGTGCCCTGTCAGGTAAACTTGGCCAGGTATGTCAGCAGACTAGTGTATCACCTGCAAGCTGTTGGCTCAAACTCCTGGCACATCATGATATGTTAATATTAGTATCATTTAAAAATATGCAGTATCAGGAACTACATGATGGGATTTTTGTAAAAGTTGAGTCAAGTCTACCTGGAAATCACATGGCTGCCCAGCTGTGTAGAGGCTGTTACCCAGTCTACCCCCTCCAGCTGTCACCATGGAAAATGCCATGCAGGTGGATGAGCCCTCTGTGCAGCTACTCTGGGCCTTTCTGTACCCACTTGCTGTGCTGCTGGCCACTTTATTGCATAGTAAGAATCTTTGCTGCCAAGCTCTGCTCCTTATGGATCATTGCCAATTCACCCATGGCCGCCATCAGCGAGCCTCCCCACTTCCATCTCTGACCATTATGTTGAAGGTGGATCCTCTGGTTTCAAACACCGGAGCATAACCCCCTCCTCCTCATCACACAGAAACCCTCTGTCATCACACAGCATGTGCCCCCCGCCCCACACACACACCTCTTTATACTAAGACCCAACCCTTTCCTTGTCTCTCACCCGAATGATGCTGGAAAGTGTCAGGCAGTTCCCTGAATGCAGACAAACAAGATCCATCCCTAGGTGTGTCCTAGGGTCTATGTGTCTCTCAAAGTCACGTTTCCAGGTAATTCAGACCAGATGGATGCACTTCTTATTTAGCCTACTTCAGGGTTCGCTGGCAGTTGAGTTTGGTCCTGGTTTTAGTACAAGAAAAGGCTTGGTGCCCTTCCCATAATTTAAGAGTGAAGGTAATGAGGAATTTCTTGTGAGGAAGAATCAGGTCACTAGGATCCTTAGTGACATTGTCAGTTAAGTATTGGCCTGATCACTAATAAATTGGTGGTTCAAACCCACCAGCTGACACCCAGGAGGATGAGATGGGCTACTTCTATGAAAAGTATCGCCATGGCTACCCTGTGGGGGAGTTTTACCCTGTCCTCTAGCTTTCCTGTAAGTCACAATCGACTCTCAAGCAGCGGTCTGGGATTTTATTTTATTTTATTTGGGGGTTAGAAGTTGGGTCAACTATTTCAAAGCAAGAGCACATTGACATGACATTGATTAGGAAGTATGAGTTCACCACAAGTTGGACATTTGTAACCCAGAGACTGCCTGCATCCTGAGTAGGAAGCTTGTTTGCTAACATAGATAGTCCAAGTCCTGGGGATGTAGTGGGTTATGCATTAGGGGAGGGTCAGCCATTCAAAACCACCAGTTGCTCCACAGGAGAAAGATGGCTGTCTGTTATTCTAAAGATTTTTAAATTCTTGAAACAGTAAAATGTAGCTCCACTCTGGCCTTTCAGGCCATGGAGTGCTAGCATTGCCTTGGCTGTGGTGTGTTTGGCAATGAATGAACCTCGGCACACTCCAGCCTGCAGAGACCTAGAATTAAAATGGAATGATCCAACAACTGGGAGCTTACTTCTTAAAGTTTCAGACCAGGTCACCTCCCAAAGCCTTCATGGATAAGCAACGTGGAGGTCACATAGAAATTGCTTGGATTAATTACCAAATAGCCATCCTTTCATTCTATAACAGTACCAAGTGACCACCGAAAACTTTATGAGACCTAGTGTACAATCTACACCTTCTCAGTCCACCCTTCCCTTCTCATCCACATCCCCTAAGTACATGTCCGTGTTGTTGGTTGGTGTCACTGAATTGGCTCCAAGTCACAGCGGCCTTGTGCCCAACAAAAGGAGACACTGCCTGGTCCTGGGCCATCCTCACCATGGTTGTTATGTCCAAGCCCATTGTAGCAGCCACTGTCAGCCCGTCTGGTCAAAGGTCTTCCTGGTTTTGGAATCCCTTCTATATTTCCAGGTAGGTATCGTCAAACCTATTTTACAAGTGATAGAATGGAGGTCCATGGTGGACGGGCTCCTCCCACTATACAAAACTACCATAGCTCATGAAACTACCTTCCTTGTTACCTACAGATGGGCATTACCCAATACCCATTCACAATGATATGATTTTTTGTTCTTTGATGGCTGATACCTGATCCCATCGACACCTCATGATCACACAGGCTGGTGTGCTTCTTCTATGTGGGCTCTGTTGCTTCTCAGATAGATGGCCGCTTGTTTATCTTCAAGTCTTTAAGACCCCAGGTGCTATATCTTTTGATAGCTGGGCACCATCAGCTTTCTTCACCACATTTACTTATGCACCTGTTTTGTCTTCAGTGATTGTGTCAGGAAGGTGAGTATTATGGAATGCCAGTTTAATAGAACAAAGTGTTCTTGCATTGAGGGAGTACTTAAGTTGAGGCCCAATGTCCTTCTGCTACCTTAATACTAAACCTATACATATATGCACATCGATCTATTTCCCCATTGTCATGTATAAATATATTTACATATGTACATGCCTGTAATTAGACCTCTACAAATGCCCCTTACCTCCTAGTTCTTTCCTCTATTTTCTTTTACTCATGGGGAGGAAATGAGCCAGTCAGGGTGCAGTATAGCAATGATGAACATACAACTTTCCTCTAGTTCTTGAATGCTTCCTCCCCCAACCACAACCCCTACTATCATGATCCCAATTCTACCCTACAAATCTGGATAGAACAGAGGATGTACACTGGTACAGATAAGAACGGGAACCAGGGAATCCAGCAAGATAAATTCCTCAGGGCCAATAATGAGAGTAGCGATACCAAGAGGGTAAGGGGAAGGTGGGGTAGTAAGGGGGAACAGATCACAGGGATCTACATATAGCCTCCTCCCTGAGGGACGGACAACAGAAAAGTGGGTGAAAGGAGACATCAGACAGTGTAAGATATGACAAAATAACAAAAATTTACAGATTATCAAGGGTTCGTGAGGGAGGAGGGACAAGGAAGGAGGGTAAAAATGAGATGCTGATACCGAGAGCTCAAGTAGAAAGAAAATGTTTTGAGAACGATGATGGCAACAAATATACAAATGTGCTTGACACAATGGATGTCTGTTTGGATTGTGATGAGTTGTACGAGCCCCTGATAAAATGATTTTAAAAAGAAAAGAAACTGCCTTCCTCTTGCAAATCCTGAAAGAAGGCTAAGGTGACCCAATATCAAAGCCTTTCTGCACCTTTGCTGTGAGCAGGTAACAGGCTAGAGAAGACAATCTAAGCTTCCAGAGAACTGACCCCTCCCTGCTTATCGTACCCCCATTCTGGGCCAGGAAGCGGGGTGAATAGCAAGAGTGCATGGATGAACTAGGCTGAACCCTTGTGTCTGCAGGTGCACAGGTTTCCTTTGTGGAGATCCACAACACGCGTCACACACTTGCTAAAGCTGAGACAGGTGTAGCCCGAGAGGGCTCCCAGAACCTCAGCCCTGGTAGTGAGGCCTCTCGATCCTGCCGCTCCCTTCAGGAGAAGGTCAATGGTTGCGTCGCATGTGTCCCCCCACTGGGTGACTTCTGTGGGAGATGAGACTGCGCTTCTCACAGACAGGAGGGACGCCTCTCTGCTGCAAAGCCAACCCGGGGTGGAATGGGATGAGGGGGACAAGGCAGTTGGTCTTCCTCGGGTCCCTCACTTCTGAGAGGAGGTTTTTCTACTGGTTTTAGCCGTGGAACATTTCCTGATACAGAGAAAAGATCCTCGTGACATCTGACTTCTCAAGCTGCATTTCTGTGGTCTTGTGCTCACAAAGCACCCCCTCCACTTGTTTTCTGGCTTCCCGTGCGCTCCTCGTGCCTTCCTGCTTGCCTGAAGCACTGCATTCATTCCTTCCCCTGGTCACCCCACACCCAGCCTGCGCCCAACCGTCTCTTAGGCAACCACTGGCTCTCAATTTAGTCACAACTTTTCCCGCGAGGCCCTTGCTTAACACATCACACCTCACCCCTTCAGTCTGGGGTGGGCGACCGTCCTCTGAGCACCCACAAGATCCCTACCATTCCCAATGGTACCGACTTATTAAATTCGTCAGTTGGTTGACAGTGTTGTCCCATGCTAGACTCTGAGCTTCTGCCTCTGACCAACACATCCTTGCCACGTAATAGGCCTCCCATATGGACGTGTTGACTGAACTGATGGATGAGGGCACTTGGTTGTGGAAAGCAAACACGTCAGATTCCGTGTCGCAGTTGTGAGGTTACCTTCTCGGCCTTTGCCAGGGAATGAAAACGGGACTGTCCTCCTTGTCCATGGTTCCCTCAGAGCCAGCATCTTATCAATTTGCAGGAACACGTCCAGGATTTTCTTTGAGTTCTCTGAGGCCAGGGACTCTGTTCGATCTTTGTGCTCCCATTTAACACCAAAAAGGGGGTTGCTTAGCAAGTGGTTTGCGATACAAGGGACAAACATGGCCTCCATCTTCTCTACAGGTTCATAACCTACCCAGCTGCGCTTATCCGGCCCCTGAGGTACTTATTTACCCCCATTACCTGCCCAAACGGGAGTGTCGTTTTATTAGGGTACGATGTAGTATTTTTACTACAAGGGGCCTGGTAGTGGACTGGTTAGGTGCTGGGCTACTGAATGCAACATCAGCAGTTCAAAAACCACTGGCTACTCCATGGAAGGAAAATGAGGCTCTCTACTCCCATTATGGGTTACAGTCTCAGAAACCCACGGGGGCAGCTCTGCCCTGTCGTGTAGGCTCATTATGAGTCAGCCTCGACTCGATGGCCGCGAGGGAGAGTGACCACAGTACACGTCACCTTGGTTCATACTGACTTCTGTGGATTTCAGGGGTTCATGAATGACAAATCCAAATGGATCTTACTGTTTGCGATCTTTATTTCTAACAATTTTGGAGAACCTTAACAAAAATAAACAAAACAAACAAAAAACAAAGATAAAATTTCCTGAAAATGAGGACGTATTAGACCATTATCTTGGCAGGCATTTTGTTTATAACTTTTGTTATCAGTAATAGAATGTCCTTGTTTTACATTATAGATATAGATATATATATTTATGTATATATATTAGTTATCTATACTTCAATAGAAAGAGACATATAAAAGCCTTTTCAAATGAGGCATGACACACACATTGGACACGCTTATTTACAGTACACCAACGTACTTCCTACACAATTGTAATAGATGCTTGGAGGCCAGAGGGGCTTCACAAAGACAGTGGGGCACCCCGACCAAAAAGAGGTGCCCCGTGCAGCTGGACGCTTATTGCCATGAGTTCTCACGATGTCCAGACAGCATGTTGGCATTAAAAATGGCATCTGTTATTGAAAAAGACTATGGGCACTGGATTCATTCTGGCTGCACAACCACTGGGGACACGGTCTTTCATCTGAGCAGGGACAGAGGTGTGGTGCTGACGGGAGTCGGAAACAGAAAACGGAATGAGGCTCATCCCGTGGGCAGGACTCAGGTTTGGGCCAAAAAGTGGAGAAGATGCTACAGACTCAGGGTCCTGGTACTGAGCCCGAGCACTTGTGTCAGGTGTCAGTCCAGACATCACGGGCCCCACCTGCAGGAAACAAATCCCTCCCTCTCTGAGCTGAGGAACCAGAGTCTGCGCCCAGCACTAACTCCAGAACACAAAATATAGAGGGCTCAGCATCACTATACATGTTAAGATTATACCATCATGTAACTTCTGAGAGGACCTACCGAGAAACCCTCAATGGTTGAGTTTCAGAATGTTCCAGTAACCCCCCTCCACATTTTTTTCCTTTTAAAAATTTCCACAAGTTTACCCTTCTGTAGCGTTGCCTACTTGAACTTGTTTTTGTACACTAGACCATTAGGGTACAATATTCTTGCATATCCCCCATGCCGTAGGAGTGGTCTGCCTTCATGTTCCGAAGTCGGATTGCAAACATGAGATGTGAGGGTGGGTCTAGATGTGCTGAGCATTATGACTATGGCATGAGTGACCCAAAGGCATGGCCCAGGGACTGGGACCCAGAATCTGGTCCCACATGGGTTCCAGCACTTCAGAAGAGACTTCTGGAAGGGGTAGGGGTTCCATTCCCAAAAGAAGGCTCTCCTTCACTCCTCATCCCTGCAGCTCTGGTCCATGCATGCTTTCATGAAACTAAATCATCCTCTAGACTTCCTCCCCCCATGGGAAATAGTTCCATCTTTGGGACCATGTTAAATCTCATGGTAATTTCCAAAACACTCCGTTCCGTCATTCACCAATGATGACTGCGGGTGAGTCCCGGACCCGGCTGTTGTTCTCTTTGCTGCTCTCCTCTCCATCCCTGCTGCATCTCGGTCTGTGCCTGTGTGATGCTCTTCAAGCCTAGCCCTTGTTTGCCTCAGGCAAGAAGAGGAGTCAATTCAAAAGGAACCAGCACCCTCTGCGAGCTCCGCGGAGTTTTTAATCCAGCAGTTGGTCCTCCGTTTAGATGTTTTTCTCCTTCCAGAGAGAGATAAAAGCCGCCGATCACATCCACGATGCCTCTCCTTTCTTTCTTCTACTTCTTTTTTTTTTTTTTTTGCAATGGCATCAAATGCTGACATAGCATTTCTTTGGAATTATATCAGCAGGAGCTTTATACACGTGTGCGTCAATCTCAGCGCCCCTTCTGCTAAATGCAGCATAAGTTAGTTTTCTCTGCTCAAGACAGGGATTGGAATGAACACAAAAATAGTGGGTGGACCATGGCTGTGCATAGACAGTGCCTGGGGAACTAGCTGGAGCAGCTCGTTCAACCTGTCTCCCGTAGTACGTTTGTTGATCACCAACCTGGATCCACAATTCTCATGGCCTTCATCCCTCCTTCCCTGAGGCCCCCTCACTCCTCTGCTCTTATGAAATATAATGGGGACTGATAAAGGCCTCCTTTCTCCCTTCTCCAGAAAACATGACAAGGGAATGACAGTATGGACCGCCCATTGCCTCGAACAAGGGGCACATTTGAATCTGTTAAGAGTTATATTTACATACATATGCTCCATTTCCGCACACACAGAGGTTAACCTGAGTTCTGAAATGCTATGCGCACTTAATTGAATAAAAAATGGTAGTAAAGCTATGAACTAGTAACGTACCGGACACATCTAGTTCAACGGGAGCCCGCCACCTCCCTAGGATCACAGTGGTGGCTACAAAGTTGAGCTCACCCACTCTGAGGGTTCTGTTTCTTTATTTTCTCATGCTTTTCCCGGAAAGCATCTTCGAGAATGAGAAGCTGGGGGGCTAGGGAAAGCAGAGCTGGTGAGTGGTCCTGTCTGCTCTCTATTCAGCTTTTCCAAATATCCAAAATGGAAACAGCACCTCTATGGGGGCAGCCCACCCACCCAGCACACCTCACCCTGCCCCCACCGCCTTCGTGTGTGAAGTCTGCCCTGAACTGGCCACATTCTGTAATCTGCAGCCAGAGCTCCCAAAAGACGTCACACGTTTCTGGTGAGTTCCCTAACGTCTGGTCCCTCCAAGCCACTACTTAAAGTAGTTGAGTCCAGCCACCAGGAAGAACTTCTCTAGGAAGAGCTCTGAGTCCAGCACAGCGATGTGGGCGGCCCGGCCGATGAGGGTGTTGGCAGTGTTGGGCAGAGCATGGAACACGTTGTGTCGAATTAAAGTGCAGTCCTTGGCTTCCACCAGAGGGCGGAGAAGGTTGTTGATCATTTCTGCGTACACTGGGCCTGCAAAGAGGGAGGGCAGGTATGAAGACAGACACCTGGGGAGAAGCTGGCCGTGCACTCTAAAGAGCTGGAAGCAGGCAGACCTCACAGAGATGGCAGGGTTGGTGCCCGGCCACCGCAATGAATCAAAGACTGTTAACAGAGTCACAGGAAGGGGCTGGTTTCTCAGTGTGCACAGAACTCATGTGTGCACTAGGGGCTAGTGATGTTTGCAATAGCGACTAGATGGCAGTCTACTACAGTGGCCCCGGGGGTATAATGAGTTAAGCACTGGGCTGCTGACTGCAAGGTCAGCAGTTTGAATCCACCAGCCACTCCATTGGAGAAAGATGAGGCTGACTGCTCCCGTAGGGATTTACAGCTTTGGAAACCGTGTGGAGTCATTCTGCTCTCCCTATCGGGTTGCTTTGGGTCGTAATGGACTCGATAGTCATGGGAAGTCTACTAAGTGTAGAGAAGCATGAGAGAAAAGGTTGAAATATTGTTGGAATGACCAGGGATTCATATGCCTATGATTGTATCTGTGTACAGATATATAAAGGGGCTTCAAAATGTTAATAAGGAAATTTTTCCATTACATTTTTGAGGTTCCTCATACATTCATCTTGCAAATATAGATCATGTATATGTTTGTGTATTTCATGTATCTATATGTCTATATTATGTGTATGTCATGTATATATGTACATATTTGTGCATACGATATATAAGTCAGAGACAGAGAGACACAAGAGAAAGGGAGATAGAGACACAGACAGAGGAACAGAGACAGAATGCTACCTCTCATTTATTGGATTAAACACAGCTCCATGCTGGAGAGGAAAGGGACTATATAGCTCACTTCCTTGTCCGTGAGTTCAGAAGATTGGGATGGTGCCCAGCGGCCACTAATGAAGATTTTGATCTAACATTCTTTGGAATGTTCATCAATTGTTGAGGGGCGGGGTGTGACAAAATTCCAACGTCTCGTAGAATCTAGACTTTCTGGAGTGTTGGGGCTGAATGAAGCCTGATAATTGTCCTGAGACCATCCTTACACCTGAAACCTTAAACCAAAATTGTCCCTCATCAATCTGGCTTAATTAGTAGAGAATATCTGTCATGAACACTGGGGTCTTTTAAATAACGTTCTATTTGAAATCAAGCTCATCTCAGCAACAGGAAAGGCGTGACAAACATTTTAGGCGGTCAATGTGTTTACGTCAGGAAAAAGGGACCATTCAGAAGAAAGAAAATGTGAATGAGCTGTATGACTTGAAGCATATAATGTTATGGAATCAGACCTGTGGAATTGGTGCACAGGTACACGTTGTATTGCGTGTCTTCTCAAGAACAATGAAAAAGAATTACAGCCCTCTGGTACCTTTTGATCACCTACCTTTTGACAACCTGTCCTGTGTTGTCACACTTTTTCTGGAATTCACTCTTGATTTTAAATCAGAAGGTCCCTGAGGGAGGGTACCTGGCTCACCTGTGTGTCTGTCCTTGAGGGCCGTCCTGCACATCTCGATCCTGGCTGAATGGAATGGCACGTAGCGGTCTTGGGGAGAAGCAACCAGCACGACATTTTTGAAATGCTGCAGTCCTGTAAGGAAAGGTGGAGCTCTGTACCTGGGCGGTTCCACTCACACCCTGTGGAGTACGCTTGCTACGGACCCGTGAGTGGAACACCCAGAACACAAGCTGGCGTATTGCACACTGAGACCTACGCACACAGCGGAGGCTGGCGTGTACCCTGGCTACCTCGAGGAGACTGAGGAGAGAGCTCACTACAAGAGACTTTTGTGCTTGAAGAGAAAAAGACATGGCCATGGAAGCTAAGAAGACACAAAGCAATCTACCCTGAGCAGAGGCAGCAAAGGGGGGAGAAATGCTGAGCTTCTGATGAAGGGAGAACACAATGCACCTGAATTTTTCTTTTGTTAAATGGGTGTACACAAATGTTAACTGGAATAGAAGAATAGGATGGGTCAAATCCCTGGATTCAAAGGCTTGGAAGAGGTATCCCAAGCTCTTTCCAGAGCCTGGTGCAGGACATCAGATGGTTGCCAGGCTCATGCAGAATGACACACAGCCAAAGACAGAGTTGACCGTTTGGTGGCTGTGCACTGCAGACGCTGTCCTAGGTTTCCAAGAGGGAGATTTCGTGTCTAGCGGCATTTCAAGCCATGATGTCTCCTGTGATGGTTGGTACGTTGGTTCATCTGAGGTTTAGAACTCTGCGTCCATTCCAGTGTCGCTTTGTCAGCCACGATGGAACTAAGCTGCACTGGCTTAGAGGCGTGAACATAATTGACCCAAATCCTTTCTGGGTGAAGAAGGCTCAATTCCTGAGTTCACCCTAACAGGCATGATTGCAAAGTGGCCCAGGAACTTACCACAGGTGACAGCAGTGGTGAGTAAGCAGAGTTTCCATTGAGGAAGACCAACGAGATAGTCACAGGGTCAGTGGTTGGTTAGTGAGGGGAGATTTTGCATGAGGCCAACTGGTTCAGCAGAAATGAACAAGCCCCATGGCCGGATGTGGAGACCACTGGCCATAATCATTGCTTTACCTGGTTCATTCTAGGACCATGGTCAATTTTCTAACTCATGACACAGTGAGTGGAGGTGAAGATGTAATGTTAGGCATGAGCTGTCCCAGACTAACCCTGTCTCTACCACACCATCCCATCCATGGGCTATGTCCTGTGTTGGTGAAACTGTAACTAGGCAGATGAACCATGCATTGGCTCACAGCCCTTGGGTCTATGTGATCAGCACTTAGAAGATTGGTACAAAATAGCAGCAAGATGACCCTAGATCTCCTCCTTGATTTTCAGCCCCTGACCAAATCTGTTAAGCCCATTCCTGCTGGGCCCCTTGAGGAGAGGGAGATGCCCTGTACCCTGAGCTTCCTGGTGGTCTCTTGCCATAAAGCGAGGGCAGTGTGACATCACTGATGCCCACTTGTCTCTCGGCTGTGGTCCCTAGCTTAAGCTCAAGACCACAAGGTGGGCCACTACAGAGCAGGCCACCTACCTGTCTTCTGGCTGAGTTGGTAGAGGAAACATTTGCGCAAGTCAGCGTGATCCCTGAAGGTCAGCTGCAGAAGGGAGCCAGACTTCTTCAACTTCTGCATGAGCCACAAGCCTAGGAGTGAAATTGGAGTTGAGTCATCAGTCCTTGTTTCACTGTAATTGTTGTTAGCTTAGAATAGAACCAAGAGAGCAGCAGGACATTTTAGCAAAGGCTGGGAAGTTGGAAGGACATTTACTGTTATCGGTCACTGGCATGAAAAATCGTCTTGAAAATGACACGCTGCAGGCTTCATGAAACCAGCCATGCCCTCCAACTTCCGGAAATCTAGACCAAGAATGGTTGGGGGGTGGAGGCTTGTGGTGGTGTCAGATGCCTTGGAGTAGACCCTAACTCACATCAATCCCATGTAACAGAACATAAATGACCCCATATGAATCCCAAGGCTGTAACATGAGAAGGCATTGTGCTGCTAACAGCAAAGGTGGTGGTTCTAACCCACCTGCCACTCTGTGGGAAGAAGATGAGACCATTTGCTCCTATAAAGATTTACAGGCTTAAGAAACCTTACATACGGTTGCTGTGAATCAGAATCAACTCAATGGCAGTGGATGGAAGTGCAATAGATCCCCAGGTGCCTTTCCTGTGGAGCCACTGAGTGAGTTGGAACCACCAACCTTTCAGTTAGCAGTGAGCGCTGTACCAGTGTGCCACCAGAACTCTGAAGTCAAAGGGTATGATGCCAGGGGTGAAGGGTGTGTAAAGCTACTCCTGGAGTCAGAATGGGTGCAGTGGTAGTGAGGTTGGTTGGGTGATTGGTTGGGTGGTTGGGTGGTTGGGTGGTTTTATACATCCTCAAAGATGGTTGCAAACCTAGAGTTACGTTTCCTTCCAGGACTCATTCATTCAGCTGGTTGAGCAGACACAAAGGGACCCTTGTGGCGGCTGCAGAGCGCGTCCTTAGTCTACCTCCTGCCTTCCTAAGCTCTCTGTGTTGAAGTCAGAGAGCTGCCTGTAGTCACCGATTACACTGATTACCCTAGCCTCGATATCATGAAGGGACCACCCCTCCTCCTCAGAAACCTCATCCCATGATTCAGTATCTTGAAAGTGGTGCTCCTGGTCCTCCTCCTGTGAGGCATAGGGAGCCTTGCCTCCTTATCCTTCATACCAAGCCTTGCTTAAGATGTAAAGAAAATTGCAAGTGGATCCACACCGAGGGCTGTGTCATACCCCAGCAAGCAGCTTTATAGATGGCTGGCTTCCATGATGTTTGCATCACCTTTTCCCATGGACTTTATCTCCTTCTCTTCAATTCTCAACAACCTTATTTTATCTAGCTAGCTATACATAAGAGCTATAATATATAATAGAAATAATAGCTAGCTGGCATAGATAGATAGGTAGATAGATTGATCAATAAATAGATAGATAGATAGATCCTTTTTACCAGTTACTCTCCTGAGCCATCTCCAAGTCATAGTAACTTCATCTCTAACAGCACAAACTATTGACCAGTACTGTGCCCTCTTCAGGGTGGTGGTTATGTCTGAAGTCCCGCTTGGGGGGTTGTTGAGTCAGCCTAGCTCATGGAGGGTGTCCCTCCCATCTGCTGACCCTCTACTTTCGTGAACACAATGGCCTTCTGGAGCAGTGGGTCTTTCCTGATGAGGCATCTGAGCAAGTAGCCAAAGTCTCACTGTCCTCGCATCTGTATAGAAGCCTAACTTCTCACAAGGAGGTCAGAAGAAAGCTTTCATGGTGCTGACAGGTAAAAGTTTATAGTCTCAGAAATCCTGTATAGGGATTGGTGGTGACTTCTGGGTGGTGTTGTGGCTTGCAGTGGTGCCCCAAAATTCATTTTGAAGTTTTCACAAAAATCTAGTCTCATGTGACTTATTTTTGACAATTGACACAATATGAGACATTTTTCCCTCAGACAGAATGTGTTTGAGAGTGAATTGCTGTATCTCCCATGGCTGGTACCTTCAAGCGGTAGCCTGGGTGTGCCCTTGATGGAAATTGGGTGCAAGCATCCCCTGGTTATGATTCATCCTGCTATCAAAATGGCCAGAGCACCCCAAAACCAATCCTATAGACTTTTGTAATTCTCAATAGTGCATGTATCCCAATCATGGTCCTTTGCTGCTTCCCAGACCCACAACAATGGTGAGGATGGCTCTGGACCGGGCAGTGTTTCATTCTGTGGTGCCTAAGGTCCCTGGGTCAGAACCAACTCGATGGCACCTCATAACAAGCCCCACCTGCGATTTCGAGCAACCCCCCTTGTGGTCCATGTCCATCGAGTCAGCCCTATGGGCATGGCTCCTTGGGGCTCAGCTATGACTTCATGTTGATGGTTTCCCTCATGCGGTTAGGTTGCCTTGTCTTTTGTTTCCTTACCCCGATGGCCCTCACAGGGAAGCATTGGACTGCTCATTGCAAGGCAGGCAGTTCAAGCTCCCCAGCCACTCCCTGGGGAGGAGATGAGGCTGTTTGGTCCTGTGAAGATGAATAGGCTCAGAGACCCTCCGTGTGGCTTTGAGTCGAAATTGTCTCTATGGTGGTGGGTTTGAGGAGGATAAAATGCATGTGGATTGGGGGTCTTTTCTTAGAACGCACCCAAGGGGCATCGTGGCTGTATGTCTTCCCTAGAGAAGACATAGATCCATAGATAGACACACTCACTATTTCCATTTCCTGGGATAGTAGATATTAAAGGACATGGTTGGGATCTTTGCCAGGATCTGGGTGAGAACTCACTCCAGTTTTGTCCCATGCTCTTTCCTCCACACCACTCCCCATCTTCAGTCCTTTCCAAACAGAACCCCAGAGAGCTCCCCCTTCATCTCACAGAGTTGAAGGTAGGCAAGCCTGTGGAGCATATGGTCTAGCCACCCCGTTGACAAGGAAGGAGCATCTTCTAGGTCCTTACCTCCCATGCCCCAAAGCCCCATCCCCAAACTCGCTGCCCCTGGCTTCAGCCCGGGACTCGGCAGTGTTCATGGTGATGATGTCCAAGCTGGGACAAGCCTTACCTGTGCTAACTAGGGCACTGTTGTTGTAGAGAGTCCCCAGGTGAGGCCCAGACAGAGACAGGAAGGTGTGAAGTTTGTTGAGGTAATACCGAAACCGGGGCCGAGTGAGAACCGATCGGATGATGATGTTTCCGAGCGAATGACCGATGAAGCTGTGTGGAGACAGAAACACCACAGTGACCTTGACAGCTTCCCGAGAGCTCATCAGTCCTCCATCGCCCACTGGACACGGTGAAGCTGACCAGGAGAACCCACCACAGAAACCCAACCGTGTTGCTGTGCTGGTGACACGGACTCATGGTGCCCCCCCCCCCCTCTGTGTTGGAGCACAGCTGGGCTCGTGGGGTGATGCCAATGGCTGTGATGTCACAGACGTAGAGAGCCAGGTTCCTTCCACAG